GAGCAGATGTTATTTTCTTCTTTAATAACACAATGTCTCATCAGAAGCCAAAAGTAATATCATCTTCTCACAATGAAGAGTGGGGGGAGAATCACTGACTTTGTAAATGACAATTGAACATTATAATCTTTGCAAGTTAACACTTTAAGCATTTGTATCATCATTTAGAACAAAAATTGATTTTCAGTTGATTTTTCATTATGATTATTATATTATAAAATACTTTCTTTGCAATTCAAAATGTCATCTCTTGACAGAAAAGCAAAATTTACTTAGTACTCAGAGTGAGTGCACCAATATAAACAGGAAGTGAACACAGGTGAATTTAGAATACACACACACACACCCATGATCATGACAACTATATTAAAGGAAGTAATAAAAATGTCTGATTTATTGGGGGGAGAAAACAAAATCCCTCATTCCTTCACAAGAAGATCGACTTTTCAAAATAAAACCTGAAACCACATACCACTTGATTCAGCCAATGTTAGTTTGATAGAGCTCAGAAGTGAATAAACAATGATTCTACATATGAAAAAATTGTGTCTCATATTCTTAGGTGTTACTAAAATTACATGAACAATGTAAAAAAATGTACAGGACAAATTCTAATTTCTTTTTTTTCTGTGATGATTATTTTCAAACAGTTCTTCAGTATTAAACAAATACTGCAGTGCTCAATTTTGCTAGTTAAGTTGGAACAATATATGATGACCCTTGTCATGGTTGACAGTGGATGTAATAACTTGTCAAAGTTATTACTGCCTGGATGATAATTATGAAAGAGTGGCTTACTCACACACTCATCTTCAACTGTCATGGCATGCCAAAGATATTTATATCTAGATATCTAGTGATGAGACAAAGTACAGTGGATCCATGCCTTTCCTAATGTGGTTAATGCTAAGAGGACATGAACAGCTCAAGTTGGAATTTGAACTTTGTTTACTGGTTGTGTTTTCCATGCAGTTATCTGCATTTACACAACCTTGCATCTGCACTGGAGCAATATGCTATAGAAGTATATTTCTAGATAGATGAGAAAATATGTAAACAGTAGGTCTATGATTAAGGCCTTATAGTTAACAGAAAAAATGTCTGTTCACTTCCTTCCAATGTCCTTGAGAAAGGCATGACGCCAGTTCTCCCTGTGCTCTGACCCATTGCCAAATACCTTGACAAAATATCACAGAACTAGCAAGCTATAATGGTTGACAGAAATGAGAGTCAGTGGGTGAACAAGCAATTCATCTATAAATACTTTACCAGATAGTAGTAAAAAAAACTAGTACATCCTTAGTCAACCATGATAAAAAAAAAGAAAAAGGAATATTTCAGTTATATTATAATATGTGTAAAATGAACCCCAGTGGAGATAGTCATAAAAATTCAAGCAATTTTCTTTCTTCTGATAAATTATTTTTTATTATAAATTCTTATTATAAATTAAGTTTGCTTCCAATTCTCTTTTTCAAGGGTCAGTGAACAACCAGGAGACACATGGTTTCCAACCCCAACCCACACAGTACATGAAGCTGTGGGCATTGTTTCCTTTTTTATTTGATATCATTTCTAAAGATAAAGAATGGAAAAGTAAATTCCACTGGTTCAGTAAAAATTCTGAGTTGATTTTAAAGCTTTTTTGAATAAACAAAAATAATAATGAAAATGAAAATCATGCATTAACACCTAATGAATATATAATGAACAAGACTGTTTATTTGTCACAAATATTATTTGCATCATTACAGAGCAAAATATTTGGAATCTGACCAAGAAATATTATACTCTTTCTGTTCTATAATAGTGGTTACATTTAGTGTATGAAATATGAATATTATTGGACAGAGGAAATATATAAATACTATATTTGATTCTTGCTTTTCCCAAGAGTGTTATTACAAAGCGAACACAAACTATCTCAGCTTGAATCTGAATTTGGTTTACCAATTCTCTTCTCTATAATAAGTATTATACCATTCCCAACAGATCAGGTCAGGCTCCTAATTATGGATAAATAGCAATTGGAGCCCCCTTTAGGCAATGATCATAGAGGATGGATACTCTGACCTACAACTTAGCAATTGCCTTGATTACATCTTGCCAAGTTCCAGAATCTCAGCCCAGGAAAGTGTTATCAAAGTTTACTCATCAAATGTATATCAAAGATATTTTGATAAGAATAAAAAGGGATGTTCGATAAATAACATCAAGTCCTTAGAAAGGGCAATTCAAAACAATACATAACCTACAATAATTGCAAAAATATTAGCACAATGTCATATATTGACTATTAGAGAGAAAAAAAAAAGAAACTGATCATCTTGAAGTGAGCTAAATTTAAAATCCAGCAGATGTTAATGGCTTCAGTACAAAAAACAAAACAAAGAACCCCAAATCTCTAGCCACATTATTTGACAAAATTTTTATTACCTCTTCCTCATTTTATAACACCTTTTTCTCACACATAGGTTTGTCTCTCATTCCAGCCTGAGAACACCTACTACAAGGAGCAAAACATGTTGTGGAATAGCTTTCCCATTCTGTCTTATTACTTCTATATAACCTATAATCCAAAAAAATTAAATTAAAATAAGATCTTGGCAGGGTTTGCCATCAACAAATCTAACAAATTAATATGTTACATGTCAGTTTGATTTTGATAAGATTTCAAAATTAAATTGACAATCTATAAATACTATAATAACATGAATCAATAACTGAAAATACAATATAATTGAGTTGCATAATTTTTCAATGTCAAGTAAATAAATAGGTTTTTAAAGATAAAAGATGAAATACTAAACCCGGAAAATAAGCTGGAAAAAAAAAAAAAAAAAAAAAAAATGAAAAAGAGAAAGAAAAATTCAATAACAACAGAACAAATTATAGCCCTGGGTTGGATCTAACAACTTATTTTACAGCCAATTATTCATTGCATAAAATATGATTGATGATATGACAACTGCAACAACCATTTAACAATACTTTTAATATAACAAATGGATGTATCAAGATTTTTTATTAACCAAGTCATATTCTACTATGAAATGAATTAAAGAATCAGGTGAATGCATATAAAGGTTAAAGATTAAACCAATAATAATCTACTGATCTGATATTTGATATTTTAAAAAATATAAAGTATTTAGCATGTGATTTACCCTGGGTTCAAATTTTTATTAGAGAATATAAAATTGATTTTTATCTGTTCAAGTAACAATCAAGTGAAGATTGCAAGCAATGATTTACAGAGACAAGTTGCTATAAACGAGCAACTGTAGCAACAGCAAGAAACAAAGTTGAATTGTATTTTCTGCTGGAGAAGAAAGAGAAGTACATTTCAGCAGTTTTAATAATCTCAAATCATAGACCTGTTGAAAAAAAGAACTGGTTTCTTTGTTCTCATCACTATGCACAACAATGAAAAAAAAAAAGCAATTGACAAAGTTCACTATATTTGAAGAGAACAAATTCAAAATAAATCTACAGAATTTTCTCTCAAATACATGAGAAAATGTACAAAATATAAATGGAAGCATTTATAATAGAATTATATTGCTTTCTTCTTTGCCTATACACATAAATCTGAGAAGAAAAAAGCACATACAGGCACAAGAGAACATTATTTTCCAAAGAGTGAAGAGAAATTTACAAATTTTCTTTGATAAAAAGATACAGAATAGTGATCACCAGCTAATATAAACAGACCATGACCTTTCACCTGTCATGATGGATATGTCTTCTCTCAACAAGGCTCCTTGTCTTGAATGTCTATTGGGACCACAAATGAAATTCATATATCCGATCTATTACTAAAGATGCTGGAAAAATGGTCAGTTCATTGTTCTACTCCACCCCCAGCATCCTGTTGTACTCCATCTTTACAAGAGATAGAACAGACTAAACATGGAGTATTGCTGCCATATCTGCCCAGTCCTCACTTGTCTGTTCAAAAGCATCTATGTGGACTTGTGGGTGAGGAACCTTACAACCCCTTCCCCACAGATGAAACATTACAATCCTCTCACTACTCTATTGCTATTTCTATGGTATGTATTCTGATGAGCTACATTTCTTAGTCCCACCATCCTACAACTGGGATCCACAATGCTACATACAAAAGTGTGAATCATTCCCTTTGTATTCCAATAGTAAGAAGCAAATTACATACAGGCAGCAGCTTCTCAAGAACTACTACTTTGCAGAACAGACTCCCAGCAGGTTGTTTTCCCAGCCACTACAATCTTGATCTCTTCAAGTCTAGGATTAACCATTATCTTTCCTGCATAGCACCATAAACTTCACTTCTTTCTCTTTCTTAAGCTTATATAACACCACACAGTAGCCCTCTATCTTGAGTGGCTCTTGGGCCTTGTATTGGGTGGACATTAGTATAAAAAAAAAACTAATCATAGAAAATCTTTTCCACTCTCCCCTTTTTGCCACTGGTTATGATCCAGACTTTAATAAGTCAATAAAAACACAACAGGATATTTTGAGACAGTATAGAAACATGTATCATTAAGGAAGATCAGTGAAAGTAGCAGAGAGGAGAGAGAATTAGGAATTAGGAGGAATTATACCATATAATGGCTACAGATAGTCTAGCCAATAACCAATCTAATTTCTTCAACCATGATAATCTGAATAATAGAGGGTGTCTTGCCATGAAAATGTGGTTATCAAAGCTAATCTTACAGATTGAGATTTACTGGATGCCTTGTATTTGCACATTTGTGCTAGTCAATTGATTGTTTTTTATGGTTTATCAATACTATTGCAAATATTTTTAGATTATAAGAATTTTTTGGAGATAATGATTTTCTAATACAACTCCTACTAATTAACCCATAGCTGGGGGAGAAGAGGTGTATCCATATTTTCCTAAAGGTTTTTGTGCATAAGTGAATATAACAAACCCAACTGGTATTGGAGCTCGGCTCTTTGACTTCCAATTCCGAACCATTACACATTACACCACCCACACATCCAAGCTTACAGAACCTGGTATTCCCAAGTGGTCACCCAGCTAGGTACTGACCAGGCTCAACATAGCTTAAGTTCAGTGATTGTATGAGAACCAGTGTTTCAACATGATATGGTCGTAAGCTTCTTGTGCTAGTCAATTATAACTCTTAAATACTTAAAAATGAATAAAAGATTAAATTAGATTTTTTTTTATTTCATTTTTTCAACCGAGTAAAAAGTCAAGTTTTAATTAGAAACCTCATAATGAACACAAAGATGCATTCAATGGTTTCAAATAATAACCAAAAACTTGTGATAATAACATCCATGACACTTTTGGACATAGAGAAGCCCAGGAGAAAAAAAAAAGAACCAGATTGACTACATATCAATCAATAAAAGATTCAAGGATGCAGATTTACTCTGTAAAATCTATCCAAGTGCTGACTGTGTGAGCTGCCACCTTCCAGTCATATGCAAACTCAGAATAAAATTATGAAGATTAAAACCAAAACAATGCCCAAACTACAATAAAACAAACTCATAAATTACTCAGAGATGTATACTGACAGAGTTAAAAGCAAATATAATAACTTGAATGAAACCAGAAATTCAAAGTGGAACACATTAAGAGAAGCCCTAGTGATATCAGTGAACAAAATTGTTCCAAGGAAAAGGAGAAGAGAAAAAGGTGTTAATGACTGATAAAATCCTTGAAATGATAAAAAAAAAGTGACAGCAAACAATGCCAATGAATGGTACAGATTATAGAACATTCAACCCAAAAACTAGAAACAAATTCAAACAAGCTAAAGAGAAATAGCTCAATGAAAAGTGTGCAGAAACAGAAAGAATGAACATCATAGATAAGACAAGAATGCATCAACAAGATGCATAAAATCAAAAGAAAAGAAAAATTACCTCAAAACATGGAACAAATATATTGGAGAACTCTTTCATGATGAGAAAAAAATCCTGCAATACACAAAAATGTAGAAAGACTTGAAATATTAAAGTCAACATTGACCAAGATGAACAGGAAAAAAGCAGCAGGACTAGTGGCAACATGCTGGAATACCTTCGTAGATCCATCTTTATAGTACTGCCTAAGAAGCCAGGTGCAAATGAATGTAGGCTCCATCAGACAATCAGCTACATGAGGCACATAATCAAATGAATAAAGTGTGTAGCATAATTAGACTGGAAATTCGGACAAGAACAGTGTGATGTTGTTAAAAACACTGGAACAATAAATATGATATTTATGATCAAAATAATATGAGAGAGTAACACAAATGCAGAAGGATGTATATCTATGTTTTATAGACTATGCAACACAAAGATCTATTTGAACTGCTAGGAAAACTTAATTTATGAGAAAGATATTAGATAATCCAGAAATCACACTGGGATGAAATTGTCTTCCTTAAGATAAAAAAATATGAATTAAGTACACAAAAATAGAAAGGAGTGTAACATGAGGATGTATTTTCTCACTAGACTTATTCAACCTCTTCAATGAGGTGATCAAAAAGAGAAATAGAAATCCTACCAGGATTCATTATCAGTAGGCACAATTTTACCATCATATGTAATTGACATTATGTTGATTGCAGACACAAAAATGAAAACTCCAGAAACTCCTAGACAAAGTGGTAAAGGAAAGTAAGAAGAAAGGACTAAACTTTAATTTTAAGAAGACAATGTATTGTTGTAAGCTAAGCCGAAGATGCAAAAGTGTTTAAACAGATGACAGAAAATGTAGTACTGAAGTCTGAATGTGCGCTGATATAGCAAAAGATGCTTTTCAGAAGCTAAACAGATTAAGAGGAAAATTTCAAGAAAAAAGTGCTGAACTGTTATGCAAAACAGTTCTCCTATGTGACAGTGAATGCTAGACAATTTCCTCATAAATGAAGAAGAGACTTGAGGCCACAGAAATGTGATTCTACAGGAGGATGCTGAGAATACCATGGACAGAACATGTAAGCAATGAGAAAGAAAAAAACAAAAAAACAAAAAGGACACTTGTACTTAGAATCAGGAAAAGGTAGTTGAAATTTCTACAACACATAATGAATAAAGAAAGCTTGCGAAATTTGACACTCATGGGACAGATTGAGGGGCAGCTGAAATAGCGAATAGCCTATATCAGTGGTTCCCAACCTTTTTTACATGGCGACACACTATTGAGTTCTTTAAATTTTCGCGGCACACCTATCACAAAAAATAAACATTTTCCACTCATAAAGCCTTTTTACAATAAAATAATAAAAAACAAAGAATATTATATAAGAAGAATTTTTATTCACATAAATCAACATATCCTGTATTCAATATCGGGTATAAAATAATAATTGAGAATGTCAGTGGGACAGTTGTGCCTGGTGCTTCTTGACTACTGCTGCAATATTTGGGCAAATGTGAGAGAGACACACTCTTAACTCTTCTTCAAGATTTTTAAGTCTTTCACGTTTTTTATTTTTAATGTTGTTTAGGTAAGAAAATCCCAGTTCACATAGGTACGAAGTTGAGAATTGCAGTATGATCTTGATGGCTTTTTTACTTAGAGTTGGATACTCTTCCATAACAGAAATCCAAAAGGCGTCCAATGGCAGTTGTGCATACTTCAATTTGAGACCACGATCACTAGAAAGGCTTGCTAATTCTTCCTCTTCACATAACTCAAAATTGAAAAGGTTGATGACTGATAAATCTAGGAGTGGATTGTGAATCCAATCAAATTCTTCAATGCTGATTGAGGGAAAATAATCTTCAATTTTATTTTCTAAGTTTCTAAACATGTCAAATGCTCACGAATCATCTCAGTAAGGCAGGTTTTGCGAACTAAGGGAAATATATCCAAATCATCTACCGTCATTCTTTTCTTTCATATTGCAACTTATTTCTTAAAAGCAACTAATTTATCTATTGCTGTAAGAATATTTTCATTTCTGCCTTGCATATTGCTGTTCAGACTATTGAGATGTCTAAATATCTCATTTAAGTACTCTATTTTAGACATCCACAATTCATTGTTAAGGTATTTACAAAATCTATCAAGTTTTTCATTTTCAAAAAAAATAAAAAGTTCTTTCTGAAGCTCAATTACGCGAGATAGCACATTTCCATTCGATAACCATCTTACTTCTGTGTGCAATAGTAAACGAACATAATGAGAATTCATATCCTTGCACAGCAACTCAAAAATTCTGGACTTCAAAGGCTGAGTTTTTATGAAATTTACCATCTCAATCACTTGATTCATTACCTCTTTTAGTTCATTTTGTGCTATTTTTGAAACTAATATCACTGTGTAAAAAACAATGAGTTCGCACGTTGTAAGGATTCTGTTTTTCTACTAAAGATACGAAACCTTTTACAGAACCAACCATTGATGGTGCTCCATTGGTACATATTCCCACACATAAATCCCAGGATAAGCCATATTTTTCGAGGCATATTGTGATTATATCAAAAATATCTTGACCTTTTATAGTTGTGGGTAACTGTTTGCAGCATAGAAATTGATTAATTATGGCATCTTCATCGATGACACGTATAAATGCAATTAACTGTGCATGATTACTGATGTCAGTGGATTCATCAATTTGGAGAGAAAACAGACTATTTTGAAATTTGGATATTACACTTTCCTCAATATTATCAGACAAGTCAAGAATCCTTCGCTAAATTGTATTGTTTGAAAGAGGGATCCTGCTAATTTCTTGTTCGGCCTTATCACCAAGCATAATTTTCACCATCTTTTTGCATGCCGGAAGGATCACTGATTCTGCAAGAACATGAGACTGATTTAAGAGCAATAATTTCAGCTACCTTATATGAAGCTAATTGAGCTTTTTAAGACATGGTTACTATTTTTTTTAAATAGTTGACTTTGCCTTGCATTTGATTCTAATAACCGTTGAAAATAATCAACATTTTTAGTTTGAAGGCTACGATGATTAGTAGTAAGATGTCTTTTCATTTTACTTGGAGCCATTGCTTCATTAGACAGTGTTTGACCGCAAACAACACATAGCGGAGAAGGAATCTGTATCTCCAGTCCAGTGAAATCCAAATTTCAAGTAATCATCACTATACAACTGGTGAACTTTTGGATTTTTAAATGACATTGTAGAATTATTCTTGTCACCATCGCCTTTTCTTTTCAGAAACTTGTCCATAATTAAGGGTAAATTGAATCTAAAATTGAAAAAAATAAATCTAAAAGAATTTTTATTATATTTGTTTTTTGTTTGTCTTACTAAAACTTTAATTTACAATGCCTAAATATTTAATAAAAATATCTACAAAGAATCTGTAAATATTGTGAACGAGATATATAGACAATATAAACTGGTGATAAAACGATACCTAAATTTTTAACGATTCCAATTCCTAACCAATATTACTTAAATGTAATTGAGTGGTTTCATCATGATTAAGAAATTGAATGTCTTTATTAAACAAAATGAAATTAAATGGCTTCTAGGTATTATCGCTTTGCGACACACCAGTAATCATTCAGCGGCACATTAGTATGCCGCGGCACAGTGGTTGGGAACCACTGGCCTATATCATGAGTTTGTGTAGATGGATGGCAGAACAGGGACTGGGAAGGATAGTAAAAAACAAATATATGAAGGATAAGAAGTTGTGGACAAACATGATCACCCACGTGCTAAAGGTACATGGCCAACAGAATTAGAGTAAAAAATTCACACAAAAGTTTCATACTGTTTTAATGCAACTTTCAGGTTTTCTAGTTAAAGCTAAAATAGTTTGTTCCTTGCCAGCTGTTGATTAGACAAGATGCAGCAGAAATGCCTCCCATATAAGATATTTATGACAACGGCATCATCATCTATCTGAGTGGTTCTCAACCATTTTTTTTTTTTAACCTATAGACCACTTTTAATCTTTATTATTTTTGGTGGATCCCAATAACCATATGATGAAAAAAAAAAAAGCTAATTTTATTTTTACTAATAGATAAGTTTAGGAATTGTATTATAGAAATAATAAATATATATTCTTTATTTTGAAGTAAAACTAATGAAAATAAACTTGTACTTAACAAGTAAGTTCTATGGAACATTTATGTACACAAGTAAAATAACTCGTCATAATAAACCAT